CGCTCCAACCTGGATTTTTGGGTGAGCACCCACGGAATCGGTGCTGCCGGGATCCCCGTGGGTGCCGCGCTCCCTAAATTGGGATACGGGCACATGGGGATGTGGCTTGCTCTGCTCCCAGAGCCAAACCAGAGCTCCAGAGGTTTCTGGAGTTATTAATGAGTTGTTGGTGAAGGGATTTGGGGATCCCCAACCCCACGATCCTGACAAATGTCCCTTTTCCCAGAGGACAAACATCCACATCAACGACAACGTCCTGCACACGGCCCACGAGTCGGGGGTGCAGAAGGTGGTCTCCTGCCTCTCCACCTGCATCTTCCCGGACAAGACCACCTATCCCATCGACGAGACCATGGTGAGAATCCCCATTCCCACGCAAAATCCAGGGAAAGTCTCCTCACCCTGCTTAATTTATCCACTCTGACATTCCCAGATCCACAACGGGCCGCCTCATAGCTCCAACTTTGGCTACTCCTACGCCAAGAGGATGATCGATGTCCAGAATAGGTGAGCTGGGGACATGGGAGCAGCCACTGGTTTTCAAGGCAAGGGGAATCCAGTGGGATTTCCAGGTGGAAGCTGGGGAGATACCTGGGCTTGGCAGGTGAAGGTGCTGCTGGCTGGGGTTTTTTGGGGGGCAAATCACTGCTGGAGGAAGGGGCTTGACAGCCCACCCACTGTCCCTTCCCTGCTCTGATCCAGGGGTTATTCCGAGCAGCACGGCCGATGCTTCACCGCCGTCATTCCCACCAACGTCTTCGGGCCGCACGACAACTTCAACATCGAGGACGGCCACGTCCTGCCGGGGCTCATCCACAAGGTCTACCTGGCCAAACGTGAGGGTGGCAGGACTTCCAGGGGTTTTCTGGGGAGAAATGAGGGTTTTTTTTTTGCTTTCCCACCTGCTCTGTGGGGTGGTTAGAGGTGGCTCTGGTGGTCATGGGTCCTTCCTCCTTCAGAGTCCGGCTCTGCTCTGACCGTCTGGGGAACGGGCAAGCCCAGGAGACAGTTCATCTATTCCTTGGTAGGTGTGGCCTTGGGAAGCAGGGAATGGGGCTGGAGGACCCACTGGTAGGACCACAGAGGGGTCTGAACCCCCCTGGCTTCTCCTGGGTCATCCCCAGAGTTGTGTCCCCTTGGGAATGGAAGGTTGGGGGATATCAGTGAGCCCTCCAAGAGTTGTCTGCTCTTCCACAGGACCTGGCCCGACTTTTCCTTTGGGTCCTGCGGGAATACGATGAGGTGGAACCAATAATTTTGTCAGGTGAGCCCTGGCTGCCCCCAAGAAGTCCCTTCTCTGTGAGGGAACAGCCACGATCCTTCCCTTCTCCACAGTGGGAGAAGAAGATGAAGTCTCCATCCGGGAAGCGGCAGAGGCCATCGCGGAGGCCATGGAATTCAGGGGAGAGCTCGTTGTATCCTTCACAAAAGGCTGAGCCCCTCTTCCCGCCAGCTCCCCTGGGAGATTCCATGATCCAGAGGATCCTTCCCACCAAAGGAGCAAAAGCAAGACCTGTTTTCCCTCCTTAATCCTTCCCATCCCAGTTTGACACCACCAAGTCCGACGGGCAGTTCAAGAAGACGGCCAGCAATGCCAAGCTCCGGCGGTACCTGCCCGAATTCCAGTTCACACCTTTCAGGAAAGGTGAGATGGGCGAGTCTGCAGGAGACACCGGGGGTCCTACCCTGTGCCATCAGCCTTGGTGGCATCCAGGTGGTCCATCCTTCCCAGATGAGGAATGAAGGTGGTGAAACACTGGCACGTGTTGCCCAGGGAGGTGGTGGTTTCTCCATCCCTGGAAATATCCATGGTCATGTTGGCTGGGGCATGGAGCAATCTGGTCTCCTGGGAGGTGTCTCCTTGCATGGTGGTTGGATGAGAAGACCTAAACAAGTCCCTTTCAACCCACCCTGTCCCATGATTCTGTGACCAAAATCCATTCCTAATCCCAAAACAAGTCCCATGATTCTCTGACCAAAATCCATTCTCAATCCCCAAACCCATCTCATGATTCTCTGACTAAAATCCACTCCCAAAATCCATTCCCAATCCCAAACCCATCCCGTGATTCTCTGACCAAAATCCATTCCCAATCCCCAAACCCATCTCATGATTCTCTGACTAAAATCCATTCCAAATCCCCAAACCCATCCCATGATTCTCTGACCAAAATCCCTTCCCAATCCCTCAAACTCGTCCCATGATTCTTTGACCAAAATCCATTCCCAGTCCCAAAACTCATCCCGTGATTCTCTGACCAAAATCCATTCCCAAAATCCATTCCCAATCCCAAAACAAGTCCCACGATTCTGTGACCAAAATCCATTCCCAATCCCCAAACCCATCCCACGATTCCATGACCAAAATCCAGTCTAAATCCCCCAAACCTATCCTGTGATTCTCTGACCAAAATCCGTTCCCAAAATCCATTCCCAATCTCCCAAACCCATCCCATGATTCTTTGACCAAAATCCATTCCCAGTCCCAAAACTCATCCCACAATTCTCTGACCAAAATCCATTCCCAATCCCAAAACAAGTCCCATGATTCTGTGACCAAAATCCATTCCCAATCCCCAAACCCATCTCATGATTCTCTGACTAAAATCCATTCCAAATCCCCCAAACCCATCCTGTGATTCTCTGACCAAAATCCGTTCCCAATCCCCAAACCCATCCCACGATTCTCTGACCAAAATCCATTCCCAATCCCTCAAACTCGTCCCATGATTCTGTGACCAAAATCCATTCCCAATCCCAAACCCATCCTGTGATTCTCTGACCAAAATCCGATCCCAATCCCCAAACCCATCCCGTGATTCCCTTACCAAAATCCATTCCCAGTCCCAAAACTCATCCTGTCATTCTCTGACCAAAATCCATTCCCAAAATCCATTCCCAATCCCCAAACCCATCCCGTGATTCTCTGACCAAAATCCATTCCCAATCCCCAAACCCATCCTGTGATTCTCTAACCAAAATCCCTTCCCAGTCCCAAAACCCATCCCACGATTCTCTGAGCAAAATTTATTCCCAATCCCAAACCCATCCCTCATACTCTGACCAAAATCTGTTCCCAATCCCAAAACCCATCCCACAATTCTTTGACGAAAATCAATTCCCAGTCCCAAAACCCATCCCATGATTCTCTGACCAAAATCCGTTCCCAGTCCCAAAACTCATCCCGTGATTCTCTGACCAAAATCCATTCCCAATCCCATCTCATGATTCTCTGACTAAAATCCGTTCCAAATCCCCCAAACCCATCCTGTGATTCTGTGACCAAAATCAATTCCCAATCCCAAAACAAGTCCCATGATTCTGTGACCAAAATCCATTCCCAATCCCAAACCCATCCCTTGATTCTTTGACCAAAATCCATTCCCAATCCCAAAACCCATCCCACAATTCTCTGACCAAAATCCGTTCCCAATCCCAAACCCATCCCATGATTCTCTGACCAAAATCCCTTCCCAATCCCTCAAACTCATCCCATGATTCTTTGACCAAAATCCATTCCCAATCCCAAAACCCATCCCACGATTCTATGACCAAAATCTGTTCCCAAAATCCATTCCCAATCTCCCAAACCCATCCCGTGATTCTCTGACCAAAATCCATTCCCAATCCCAAAACCCATCCCACAATTCTATTACCAAAATCAGTTCCCAAAATCCATTCCCAGTCCCAAAACCCATCCCGTAATTCTCTGACCAAAATCCATTCCCAAAATACATTCCCAATCCCCAAACCCATCCCACAATTCTCTGACCAAAATCCATTCCCAGTCCCAAAACTCATCCCGTGATTCTCTGACCAAAATCCATTCCCAAAATCCATTCCCAATCCCAAAACAAGTCCCATGATTCTGTGACCAAAATCCATTCCCAATCCCCAAACCCATCTCATGATTCTCTGACTAAAATCCATTCCAAATCCCCCAAACCCATCCTGTGATTCTCTGACCAAAATCCATTCCCAATCCCCAAACCCATCCCACGATTCTCTGACCAAAATCCATTCCCAATCCCTCAAACTCGTTCCATGATTCTGTGACCAAAATCCATTCCCAATCCCAAAACCCATCCCGTGATTCTCTGACCAAAATCCATTCCCAATCCCAAAACCCATCCCATGATTCTCTGACCAAAATCAATTCCCAATCCCAAAACCCATCCCGTGATTCTCTGACCAAAATCTGTTCCCAAAATCAATTCCCAATCCCAAAACCCATCCTGTGATTCTCTGACCAAAATCCATTCCCAGTCTCCCAAACCCATCCTGTGATTCTCTGACCAAAATCCGTTCCTAGTCCCAAAACCCATCCCACAATTCTTTGACAAAAATCAATTCCCAGTTCTAAAACCCATCCCATGATTCTATGACCAAAATCTGTTCCCAAAATCCATTCCCAATCTCCCAAACCCATCCTATGATTCTCTGACCAAAATCCATTCCCAAAATCCATTCCCAACCCCCAAACCCATCCCATTTTTCCCCTCCCCAGCCGTGAAGGAAACCTGTGCCTGGTTCAACGCCAACTATGCCAGCGCCAGGAAGTGACGGCACCGGGACCGGCACCACCCGGCAGCGGGATCGTCCTCTTCGACTCAGGGTTGTCCTTTGCTGGGGCAGAGGACGGGGCTGGGGTGGGGGGTGACAGTGACATTCCCAAAGTAAAAACGGGAGCCCGGGGAGCAGCTCCCACATTCCTGCCCCACTGCTGGGAGCGGCGCAGGACGCCCAGGGCAGGGGTGGGGGAGGAAAGATGGGGCATCCCAAAAAGATCCCAAATCAAGTGGTAGGATTTGCATCCAAGAGGGTGGTGGCTCTGAGCTGTTAATGAGCTACACTAATTACCTGCAATTAGGTGTGGTAAAGGGAAGGCAATCAGGATTCCAGGGCATGGAAATGGCAGCAGGGAATTTGCTGCTGCTCTTGGCACGTGGGGATGATCCCACAGCTCCCTGTCTCAGGATAGGAATGGGAAAGACTCCAGCTGTAAATGTGGCATTTATTAAAATATATGCAAATAGCATAAAACTGGTGGGACAATGAACATCTGCCCTGTACCCACATCCAGTGGCATCCTTAGGGTCCATGTTCTCCACCAGGATCTGGAATAGCCATAAAAAGAGTTAAAATCCCTCAGGGAGACGGTCAAAAATGGCGGGATGAATCCATGGCCAAGCTACTGCTGGTGGTGTGGACGTGACAGAATTCCTGCCCGGGAATCGCTTTCTTCCGGCACCGCTGCCCAGCCCTGGTGACACCCTGGCACAGGGACCTACGGAGGAGACACCCATCAGCACCCCAGGAAGCCACCAGCAGTGGGGTCACCCCCTGAGGTGACACCACGCCGTGGAGAAGGGACATTCTGGGTGGTTGGTGCTCACACGTTGGCCATTGGGCTGCAGGGTTTGGGCTCCCAGAGCTTCCCAGCATCCATCAGCAGCTCCGGTGTCACCTGGTTTGGGAAGAAGGGGGTTCCTGCAGATGTCCCTTGTCTCCTGGGGTGCCTTGGCCACCCTATTCCACCCCAAATTCCTCCCTGTATGTCGTATCCCCAGCCCTGTCTCCCAGTGGGTTGTCCCACACTTGGAGGTGCCACCGTGGTGAGGACACCCCAACCTTGGAGGACCTGACCCTCGGTGAGACCCAGGTGGCCCCCAAGAGCAGGTTTTGGGGGACAACACCAACATGGGGACAATCCCACCCAGCAGCTTACCCCACACGAGTTCAGTGCTGTCCTCTGGCCACCGGAGTCGGGTGACACCTGCCCTGGGAATTCGGGAATGTCCCCGGCCACCTCTTGGGGCTGCTCCAGGTGTGAAAGGTCTGCAAGAACATGGCAGGGGTGGAGATACCCTCCCAGTGCTCCTGTCCCCAGGCAGAGGGTGGGGACACTCTGGGGTGGTGTCACATGCCCTGGCAGAGCTTGGGGACACTCTGGACACGTCCCAGCACAGGACGGGGACGCGTCAGGGTTTGGGATCCATGTCCTACAGCCACCACACCTCCCACCTTGTGGGCACCTCTCATCTTGCAGGCAGCTCATCTCCATCCTGTCCAGCTCCTCTTGCAGCAGTTCCATATCGCATTCCCTGTGTGGGAAGAAGGAAAACCGGACTCCTGTCACCTCAGTGGCTTCTGTGTCACCACCACCATAGACACATTCACCTCTCCACACCCTTCTCTGAGCAGAAATAGGCCACAGAGTTGGGAAGAGGTGACCAGAAGCCATCAGGATGTGTCTTGTCCTTCCCTGGAGACCTCTGCCGATGGCTCCAGGATGGGACATCCACCCAGGGATGTGACATCGAGCAGAAACAGGACATGGAGTTGGGATGAGATGCTCCAAAACCACAGGAAAGCCACCAAGATGTGTCCTGTCCTTTCCTGGAGACCTCTGCCAGATGGCTCCAGGGTGGGAAATTCAGGATGAGGCACCAAGGATGGGACACCCAGGGTGGGATATCTGAACAGAAATGGTGCAAGGAGTTGGGATGAGGTGTCCAAAAGCCATAGGAAAGCCATCCAAGATGTGTCCTGTCCCTTCCTGAGAACTTCTGCCAGGTGGCTCCAGGGTGGGACACCCAGGGATGTGACACTGAGCAGAAACAGGACATGGAGTTGGGATGAGATGCCCCAAAACCACAGAAAAGCCATCCAAGATGTGTCCTGTCCTTCCCTGGAGACCTCTGCCAGATGGCTCCAGGATGGGACATCCACTCAGGGATGTGACATCGAGCAGAAACAGGACATGGCGTTGGGATGAGATGCCCCAAAACCATAGGGAAACCACTGAGATGTGTCCTGTCCCTTCCTGAGAACTTCTGCCAGGTGGCTCCAGGGTGGGACACCCAGGGATGTGACATTGAGCAGAAACTATGTGGAGTTGGGATGAGATGCCCCAAAACCACAGGAAAGCCATCCAAGGTGTGTCTTGTCCTTCTCTGGAGACCTCTGTCAGATGGCTTCAGGGTGGGACATCTGAACAGAAGTGCTGCAAGGAGTTGGGATGAGGTGTCCAAAAACCATAGGGAAGCCACCAAGATGTGTCCTGTCCCTTCCTGAGAACTTCTGCCAGGTGGCTCCAGGATGGGACACCCAGGGATGTGACATGGAGCAGAAACAGGATGTGGAGTTGGGATGAGATGCCCCAAAACCACAGGAAAGCCACCAAGATGTGTCTTGTCTGTTCCTGGAGACCTCTGCCAGGTGGCTCCAGGATGGGACATCCATCCAGGGATGTGACATTGAGGAGAAACAGGACACAGAGTTGGAATGAGATGCCCCAAAACCACAGGAAAGCCATCCAAGATGTGTCCTGCCCTTCCCTGGAGACCTCTGCCAGATGGCTCCAGGATGGGACATCCAGGGATGTGACATGGAGCAGAAACAGGACACAGAGTTGGGATGAGATGCTCCAAAACCACAGGAAAGCCATCCAAGATGTGTCCTGTCCTTTCCTGGAGACCTCTGCCAGATGGCTCCAGGATGGGAAATTCAGGGATGTGACATGGAGCAGAAACAGGACATGGAATTGGGATGAGATGCCCCAAAACCACAGGAAAGCCGTCCAAGATGTGTCTTGTCCTTTCCTGGAGACCTCTGCCAGATGGCTCCAGGGTGGGACATCCAGGATGAGGCACGAAGGATGGGACATCCAGGGTGGGATATCTGAACAGAAATGGTCCAAGGAGTTGGGATGAGGTGTCCAAAAGCCATAGGGAAGCCACCAAGATGTGTCCTGTCCCTTCCTGAGAACTTCTGCCAGGTGGCTCCAGGGTGGAAGATCCAGGGTGGGACACCAAGGACGTCACCCAGCAGCTCCCAAGGGTTCCATGCCACCTCCTCAACCTTCTCCTACCTCTCCGGGGTGGAGGTGAGCCGGAAGCGGGGCTCTTCCCGGGGAACCACCGGCCGGATCCTTCCGGCACCACGGCAGGCGGAAGCCAGCAGCCAATGCCCTGTGGGAAAACAAGAGGATGGGAGAGGACAGATCCCCCTGGGTGGTGTGTCCCCAACCGCTGTCCCCACACGTGTCCCCACCTGCTGCAGCAAGGACCAGGAAAGTGGAGATTGCTGGGATGCCGAGGGCGCTGGAAGCGAGGAAGAGGAGGAGAAGGATGACCCGGAATGACGCCGGCACCAGTGGAAGAACCAGGAGCGTCAAATATGGCATGCAGGAGGAGGTGGCACTTTGGCTCTTACCTGTGGGATGGGGAAGAAGATCTTGGTGTTGGCACCCACCAGCTCCCATCCATCCTCCACCCCCATTCCCGCTCACCATCCAGGTCAGGGATGGCTCTGAGCTGCTCCAGGTGTTTTTCCAGCTGGATTTGTGCGTCTTCCAAGGCCGTCAGCATCAGCTCCAGGCTCTGGTTGACCCTCCGCAGCTTCTCCGTCACCTCCTGAAGGACCAGGATGCTCTCTGCATATGAAAAAGATGGATACAGCAGCGGGGAAGACGCACCTCGGTGTGAAAAACAGGATTCCATGAATCCCGTTGGAATGGGATTTGCCACATTCCCACCTGGTTGGGGATGAACATCCTGAGATCTTTCCTGCTGCTGATGGAGGTTGGATGGGACAACCTGGTGTCCTCCCCGGAGCTGCTCAGCCCCACGGCTGCTCACGTTCCCTGTGGGGAGGTAAAAGAGGTCGGATCCATCCCAAAGTGGGATATGGGAATGTTGAAGCATCCCAACCTTGGCTCGTACCCGTCTGGTGGGGGATGTCCTGCAGGAGATGGGCCACGGGGGTCTCATCCAGCGCTGACCTCATCCAGGTCTCCCAGAGCTCCTCCTGAGGTGAATTTTGGGGGGTGATGATCTGGGAATGCTGGTTTTCCCCATGGACACCCCCAAATGCACCCCTGGGTGCTCCCAGCACAGGATGACGAGACGGAGGAGGGGGTTTGGGGACATAAAGTATGGAAAAAGGTGTGAACTCACCCCAGAATTTGTCCCTCACCCCCCCAAAAACCATCCCTACACCAAGCAAAGGGTGGGGGATCCCAGAATCCAAATTTCCCGGCCAGAGGGAACCCCACAGTGACAGGAATCCAGGTGTGACACCTCCTGGGGTGTAGCTTCATCCTAGAACAACCTGTGGTTGCTGTGAAGGGGATTTGTGGGGGGATCCCCAAATTTGGGGTGGGTCCCCACCTTCTCTGGGGGGGCAGTGAGGCCCAACCACCCCAAAAACCAGAGGAGCAGCACAGCCCGGGAGATTTGGAGCAGCATGACGGGAATGGAGGGGGTCCTGTGGGGAAAAGAGGGTGAGGAAAAGCCCCCCCACATGGAAAAATTACAGGATCCCACTCCCCTCCTCAAATTCCGGGGTCCCCTCGTGTCAGGGATGCCGGTGGGTGAGGAGCACCCTGGGGTGGGAAGCAGCTCCCACATCCACCGGCAAATTAGGGGGCACCTCCTCGGAGGGTACCCCCCAAAAACCCCGTGGATGCCGACTGTGGGGGGACCTGTGGGGCGAGGAGAGTGGGGAGAACCTCCCACACCCACGGACAACTTCGGGGACCTCCCCCACGCCAAATTTACTCAGCCACCCCCGTGGTGGAGATCCCTCCGTGGGCCCAGAGGTACGGGGAAGGGTTGGGAAGGGTTTGGGAGCAGCCGGGAATTCCCTCCAGGACCCCCACGCGTGGAAGGGTTGGGAAGGGTTTGGGAAGGTTTGGGAGCAGCCGGGAATTCCCTCCGGGACCCCCACGCGTGGAAGGTCTGGGGAATTTTGGGAAGGGTTTGGGAGCAGCCGGGAATTCCCTCCGGGACCCCCACGCGTGGAAGGGTTGGGGAATTTTAGGAAGGGTTTGGGAGCAGCCGGGAATTCCCTCCGGGACCCCCACGCGTGGAAGGGTTGGGGAATTTTGGGAAGGGTTTGGGAGCAGCCGGGAATTCCCTCCGGGACCCCCACGCGTGGAAGGGTTGGGGAATTTTAGGAAGGGTTTGGGAGCAGCCGGGAATTCCCTCCGGGACCCCCACGCGTGGAAGGTCCGGGGAATTTTGGGAAAGGTTTGGGAGCAGCCGGGAATTCCCTCCGGGACCCCCACGCGTGGAAGGTCTGAGGAATTTTGGGAAGGGTTTGGGAGCAGCCGGGAATTCCCTCCGGGACCCCCACGCGTGGAAGGGTTGGGAAGGGTTTGGAAAGGTTTGGGAGCAGCCGGGAATTCCCTCCGGGACCCCCACGCGTGGAAGGGTTGGGAAAGGTTTGGAAAGGTTTGGGAGCAGCCGGGAATTCCCTCCGGGACCCCCACGCGTGGAAGGTCTGGGGAATTTTGGGAAGGTTTGGGAGCAGCCGGGAATTCCCTCCGAGACCCCCACGCGTGGACCCGCACTAACCACGTGGCGCCGGCGCCTGCGCAGTAGCCCCTCCTTCCCCTTTCACCCCGCCCCTTAAAGGCGGCTCCACCAATAGGAGAGAGGGGTGTGTCCGCGCGGGGCCAATCAGCGCCGGGGGTGTGGCCCAGGGGGCGTGGCCTCGCCAACCATGGAGGCGGCCGAGCTGTGGGTCGGGTTCGTGGGCGCCGGGCGCATGGCCGGGGGGCTCGTCCGGGGGCTGCTGCAGGCGGGTACGGCACGGTGGGGGCGACCGGAGGGTCCGTGACACACGGGGAAGGGAGGGGACGTGGGAACAGTCCTGGTCTGGCGCCTTCCCGGCGTCCCTGCGCGGGGATGTGTGGGGGGACGTGGGGACAGCTCTGGTCTGGACGCCCCCAGCAGTCTCTTCACTGTTGTACAGTGCAGGGATATGGGGACAGCCCGTCCCGATCAGTTCTGAAAGTCCCAGCCCGCCCCCGTGTCCCTGTCCTCCAGTGCAGGGATGTGGGGACAACCCTGTCCCTGCCTTGGCCTATTCCCAAGGTCCCAGCCCTTCCCCGGGTTCCTGTCCTGCGCTGGAAGGACACGGGGACAGCCCTTTCCTGCTGCTCTCCCACGGGGACCCTGCTCTTCCCCCACAGATTAGTGTGGGGACATGGGGACAGCCCTTTCCTGCTGCTCTCCCTGTGTCCCTGTCCCCCAGATTAGTGTGGGGACATGGGGACAGCCCTTTCCTGCCGCTCTTCCCGTGTCCCTGTCCCCCAGATTAGTGTGGGGACATGGGGACAACCCTTTCCTGCCGCTCTCCCCGTGTCCCTGTCCCCCAGATTAGTGTGGGGACATGGGGACAGCCCTTTCCTGCTGCTCTCCCCGTGTCCCTGTCCCCCAGATTAGTGTGGGGACATGGGGACAGCCCTTTCCTGCCGCTCTCCCCGTGTCCCTGTCCCCCAGATTGGTGTGGGGACATGGGGACAGCCCTTTCCTGCACCCCTCCAGGGTTTTCCTGCTCTCCCCAGGGTCCCTGCCCTCTGTGAGGTTCCTGTCCCCCATATCAGTGTGGGGACATTGGGATGTCCCTGTCCCATAGCACAACGTGGGGACAGCCCTGCCCATTAGGGCCACCTCTGTTGTCACTGCACCCTGACACAACTGCTGCCAGCCACCATGGCAGGATCGTGCTGGGATTGGAGGAATCACATCCCAGTGGAAATTGGGGTGTCTGGGCTGTGCTGGGGTGTCCCCCCCAAACCCTGGGGGTCACCCTTGGTCACTCACCCCGTCCCCTGTGTCACCCAAGGGAAGGTTCCAGCCAGCAACGTCCTGGCCAGCGCTCCCTCGGACAAAAACCTGGATGCTTGGAGGGTGAGTGGGGCCAAGGGGGTGGGAGATTTTGGGGTGTCCCTCACTGTGGGGGTCACAGCACCCTTTCCCCCACACTGGGGTTTGGCTCATCCTTCCCAGGGCAGGGTGAGATCCAGGCAGAGCCTCGGTGGCTTTGTGACCAGAGCAGGTCCCCAGGCCGTGTCCCTACTGTGGGGGTGCTGATTTTGGGATGCTGTTTTTGGGGGTGTCGGGCTCTGATCCCTCTCCCTGTCCTCGGGCAGGAGTTGGGCTGCCGGACCACGCACTGCAACCTGGAAGTGGTGCACAGGAGCACCCTGGTCTTCCTGGCCACCAAACCCCACGTCCTGCCGGGTGTCCTGGAGGAGATCCGTCCTGCCGTGGGGTCCCACCACATCGTCGTGTCGCTGGTGGCCGGTGTCACCATCCAGACACTGCAGCGGGTGAGACTCCTCCTTCTCCTTTTCCTTCTCCTTTTCCTTCTCCTTTTCCTTCCCCTTTTTCTCCTTTTCTCCTGCTCCTCCTTTTCTCCTTCTCCTTTTCCTTCTCCTTCTTTTCTCCTTCTTTCCTGCCCCTCTTTTTCCCCTTCTTTTCCTTCTCCTTTTCTCCTGCTCCTCCTTTTCTCCTTCTCCTCCTTCTCTTTTTTTCCTTCTCCTCTCCTGCTTCTCCTTTTCTCCTTCTCCTTTTCCTTCTTCTTTTCTCCTTCTCCTTTTCTCCTTCTCCTCCTCTCCTTTTGCTTCTGTTTCCCCTCCTTCTCCTCCTCATCTCTTTCCTCTTCCTCCTTCTCCTCTTTCTTCTCCTCCTCCTCTTCCTCCTCTTCCTCCTCATCCACCTCCTCCTCCTTTCTCCTCTTTTTTCCTTGTCCTCATCCTGGTCTTCCTTCTCCTTCTCCTTCTTCTTCTCCTTCTCCTTCTCCTTCTCCTTCTCCTTCTCCTTCTCCTTCTCCTTCTCCTTCTCCTTCTCCTTCTCCTTCTCCTTCTCCTTCTCCTTCTCCTTCTCCTTCTCCTTCTCCTTCTCCTCCTTCTGTCTCTCCTGCTCCTCCTTTCCTGCTTCTTCTTTTCCCCTTCTCTCTTGCTTCTCCTTTTCTCCTCCTCTTTCTCCTTTCCCTCTTCCTCCTTTTCCATCTCTCATTCTCCTCTTCTTTCCTCCTCCTCCTCTCCTTTCTCCTCCATTTGCACCCTGCTGCGGCCTCGTCCCCACCCGCCAGCACCTCCAGCTCCCTCCCCGTGCTCCCTTCTCCAACAACCTGATGGGTGACACCCACCGGTGTCCCCGGCCACCCCTGGGTGCTTCCCGAGGCTGACACCCCTTCTCCCATCCCCATCTCTCCCCAGCTCCTCCCGCCCTCGACCAAAGTGCTGCGGATCATGCCCAACCTGCCCTGCGTGGTGCAGGCGGGGGCCATGGTCTTCTCCCGGGGCAGCAACGCGGGTGACGCGGAATCCGCGCTCCTCCAGAACCTCCTGTCCTCCTGCGGCCTCTGCGAGGAGGTCCCCGAGTCCTACATCGACATCCACACCGGGCTCAGCGGCAGCGGCGTGGCCTACGTAAGCCAGCGGGGCGAGGGACGCCCTCCTGGGATTTGGGGTTCCCTCCTGGTGCTCCAGGTTCACCCTTGGGTGCTCCCCCTCTTCCCAGGTGTACCTGTTCGCTGAGGCGCTGGCCGAGGGCGCGGTGAAGATGGGAATGCCGGGCGCCTTGGCCAGCAGGATCGCGGCGCAGACGCTGCTGGTGAGTGTCGGAATCTGTGGGTATTGGTGATTCCGAGATTGTAGAAAGTCTCTGTCTTTCTGCCCCGTTGCCAAAGAAGAAGCCATAATTCGTCTGTGCTGTTTTCAAGGTTGTTTATTCTGTTTATCTCTAACATGTTCTGCTGCCCTGCCGCAGCTCTGTCCTGCAGGGCAGCGTGTGGGGCTCTGCCCCCAGTGGGATGTTACAAACATTATATACCAGAAATTACGTGTGCTATATTTACAATAACGTGCCAATATCTGTCATCTACGTTGAGCAGTGTGTTCCCAGCCTAAACCAATAGAAAAATGCCAACACTACAGTGAAACATGGAGGGCATGAAGAAGGAGGAATAGGACAAGACACACCCAATTCCTCCATCTTGTCCCCTCTGAACCCCTAATCTAGAAATCTAAAATTTTACCTTTTCACTCGTGTCACAATTATTACTCTTATCAAACACTCAAAGCTTGTAATCCATCCTGTAAGATTGAAAACTCCTCTCCATGGACAGAGATCACAGACAGTGTCTCTGGGGGCTCTGTCCAGGGGGGTTCCTGACCCCTGCCAGGGTCCCAGACCTGCCAGGGCAGCCAGGGGGAAGCCCTGGATTCCCACAGGTGAGCCCTTGGCACGTTCCGGAATCTCCCTCCTTCCCTCCCTTCCGTTGGGATGAGGGAGGAGGTGCTGGACGCCGCTCTGCCTCAGTTTCCCCTCTCGGAAGCAAAAACGAGGACGAACACCTCTTTGCCATGGGGGTGTCGGGATGGTGGCGCCATCCAACCGTGGAAAGGGGAGTTTGGGGAGTCCCAAATCTCACCTTCCCGGTGTCCTGGCTTGCTGTAGGGTGCGGCCAAGATGCTGCTGGAGACGGGGGAGCACCCGGCCAAGCTGAGGGGGGACGTCTGCACGCCCGGGGGTACCACGATCTACGCCCTGCACCAGCTGGAGAAGGGAGCGCTCCGGGCCACCGTCATGGATGCCGTGGAGGCGGCCACCAACCGGGCGTGTGACATGGCCAAGGACTAATGGACGAGCCCCTTCTGGGACAGGAGGGGTGACGGGGACCAAAGCGAGCTCCTCTGAGGAGCAGGACCTCCTGACATCTTCAGGAGAACGTGGGAGGTGGTGTGGACACGTGTTGACCTCTGCAGGGCTGGAACCAAATAAATGTGGTCAGAGCGATGTGGGCTGTGGCTTTTTGTGGCCCTTGGGGGGCTGTGGAAGCCACCACGGGGGTCACTTCCGTGGGGAGGTGACATCCATGATTTCCAGGGATGGAGCTGGCACCAAGGACGAAGCTGGTGTGGGAGAGAATTTTGGGAATGAGGTGATCCCAATTTAACCCCGCTGGGGGTGGGAGGGTGGCTGCATCCCTATGGTCAGAGCCACGTCCATGAGGATGCTGCCCACATTCCAGAACCATGGACACAAAACTGCGCCACAACCCCTCCCTGGCACCCAGGAATGGGATGGAAGCCCTGATCTGCTCCCATCTCCAGGAATGTGGAGGGGGTAGAAACTCAAACTTGCCCATCAGGAGAGGATCTGAACCTTTTGCACTCCCCAAAAAAGCTCTGCTTCCCCCCAGCACCTGCAGAGATGCAATTAAGAGATGATTTGGGAACTGCTTTGAGGATGAAAAGGTTTTTTTTTCACTGGTGGGAACATCTGGATGCTGAGCCCTGACTTTGGATAAGGGCCTGGAGTGCCAGGACACAGGGAATGGCTTCCCACTGCCAGAGGATGGGGTTAGATGGGATTTTGGGAAGGAATTCCTCCCTGGGAGGGTGGTGAGGGGCTGGAATGCAATTCCCAGAGAAGCTGTGGCTGCCTCATTCCTGGAAGTGTCCAAGGCCAGGCTGGACAGGGCTTGGAGCAACCTGGGAGAGTGAAAGGTGTCCGTGACCATGGCAGAGGTTTGGAATTTGATGGCCTTGCAGGTCCCTTCCAACCCAAACTGTTCCATAATTTCACACTCACAAACCAGCCCAAAGACCTCCAGCCCAGCACCTTCTGCTGATTTTTTTTTTTTTTTTGCAACATTTCTGTCACACAGCTGAAGCCTCCTCCCATTCACAAACTCCTGTTTGAAATGAGCCACATCATCCCAAGCTCCAAAATCTTTTTTTTTTTGGCGTGATTCTGGTGTAAAAGATGATAAACAGAAATGTGATTTTACATTATTGCACCCCAATGGTGTGGAGAAGGCCACACTGAGAGGACACAACCCCATGAAGATCCCCCTGGTGCCACCCCAAATCCCTCTGGGATGGCTCCACGTGACAGCTCACAGACGACAGCCTCCACATGGGAATAAAAATCCATTTAATTTTCATAAATTCTGCATCGAGGAGACAAAGACCCGACAAGTAAAAACCCCCACCCGCCCGCTGACGTGGGACACGGCAGCACTGAGGAGTTCATTTGATTTCCCTCTTCCAGTAGTTCAGCTAAACACCCTAAAATTTCATCCAAATCAGGTCAGGAGCTGCTAAATTCCTATCAGATGCCTCCAATACTCCAAGGTAGTGCCAGGAGCCCTCCCTGCTCCAACCTCAACTCTCCCAAAGGTGTCCTCCAGACGCGGCCACCCCAAAAACCCTGTGAGGAACACCTCAACCCCCATCCCTGGAGCCTTCAGCTCCACGAGGATGCTCGGACGATGGTACCTGGTGGTCCAGGTGTTCCCAGCTGTGATGGGAATGATGGAGGTGACTCTTTTTTGTGGATGCCACCCAAGTGTCCCTTTCCCAACCCATTGCCTGAAGGAAGCTGTCTTAAACCAGCCCCAAACCATCCTGGTTTAACAGGATTCAGCAGGAAGGGCGTCACCAGCCTCTTCCAAGGTGGAATCTTTTCCCCTGCAGCACCTCAGGAGTGTCCCGTGAGCTGGCTGTGCCCACCTCAACCCTGCTCTGGGATTTGGGGATTTTTTTCCGTGTAACATCCCCATGGACGCTGAGCAGGTCCTTCCCTCGCCCCTTCTCCCCATGGAATTTGGGAGAACTGGGCAATTTGGGATGTGGGGGGGGAACGACATCCACCCGCCTTTTCTGGCAGTGCCAGCAACCAGGGGCCACAAGGGATGTAAAAAATAGCACCTCCTAAATATATTTAGGTAAGGAACAACCCTGGAATTCGAGTTGTTGCATTAAAATCCCCTGAATTGTGACCCACAGGCACTCTGAAACCCAGGGAGTCACGGTCACAGAGGGGCGAGCGGCACCTCCACCGCCATCCCCCTGGGACAACCGGGGTGTCCCCAGCTCCGTGGCCAACCAGGGGTGGTTGGTAGCCAAAAGTCGGCCCTGCCCTAGGATTGGGGGCTGTGGCTGCGGCGCAGCCGCTGGGCCATGGAGATGAGGGAGCGGAGCTGCACCAGCTTCAGCGGCCCCACTTCCCGGGGGTCCTGTCCCTCCAGCCAGCGCAGCGCTGTCTCCAGACCCCGGATGGCTTCCCGAGCCGTGGGCAGCAAAGCATCTCCTCCTTCCCTTTTGCCACCAGCTGCTTCCTCCTCCTCATCCTCCTCCGCCCCGCATCCCTCAGCGCCTTCCTCCTCGCCGTCATCGTCCTCATCCGCACCTGGGGCCGCGTCATCCAAGTGCAACCAGTCGGACACTTCCTCGGGAGCCAAGCGCTTGAAGGCCAAGGCGGCCAGGTGGGTCAGGTCACTGAAGACCTTGCTGTCCCCTCCGCCTTCCTCCCCTCCTGGGGTGTCCCCGTGCTCTTCCTCGCCGGGCTGGGGCTCGAAGGCGGCGCGCAGCCCCAGCAGCCAGCACTTCTCGATGGATCCCGGTGGGATGAGATCCCAGGAGAGGCCGGCCAGGTACAGCATGTCCTTGAGGAGGAAGGAGCGCACGAAGTCCGCGGGGCTGCCGGGGCCGCCGCAGGACACGGCCAAGCGCAGCAATTCCCGCTTGTAGAGCTGCTTGAAGGCCGACACCACCCCTTGCTCCAGCGGTGCCGGGATTCGGCCTCCCGCTCCAGCCGAGCCGCTGCCAGAGTGACCCTTGGAGAGGAAGAGCGCGCGGATGGAGCCATCCGGAGTCTGGAGCAGAGGTGGAGAACCCTCGGGGGACGGCGCAGCGCTGAGCAGCAGCACAGCCTTCTGCTGCAGGCAGCTCCGCCTCAGGTACCGCTTGACGCCCGGCACGAAATCCTCAAAGAACCAAGCCCGCAGCAGCGCCGGCGCCAGCCGGGCCTCGGCGCCGTAGCGGTAGCAAGCCGGGAATTTCTCCTGGTTGTGATGCCGCAAGCTGGCGGGATCGCGGAGACCTCCGACCACCAAAGGTTTGAGTTTGTGGGAGCCGGTCAAGTTGGCGGCCAGCAGCACCGTGACGCGCTCGCCGCGGGCCGGACGCCTCGCTGCGATTCCAGCAGCGGGAAGAAGCTTCCAGAAGAGCGTGGTGATGTTGGCGTTGTAGATCTGCTCATCGCCGTAGCCGCCAGCATCGGGCACGACCTCGGCGCGGGTGGCCGGGGCGCGCTCGGGCTCGGTGGGGAGGCCGCCCTCGCCGTAGATGCGCTGGCTGGAGATGCCGTGGCGCTTCTGCCAGCGCCAGAACCAACCGTGGCTCGCCTTGAAGGTGCATTCGGGCCCGTAGATCTGCCGGGCAAAGGCTTCTGCCTGGGCCTGGATGAGGGGTCCGGAGAGCGGCACGCCGTGCTGGCGCAGGGCGAGGAACCAGGCGTAGACAGCGCGGTCGATCTCCTCCTCGTTGGCCAAGCGCATCTTCTTGCGCTGGGTGCCCACCTCGCCGCCCAGCTGCTCCAGGAACCAGCGCAGCTTCGCCTCGTCCTTCAGCCACCCCCGGAGGGTCCCCCCCGGTACCCCAAAAGCCCGGCACACCGACGCCTGCCGCTCGCCCTTCTTCACCCTCTCGATAGCCTGCAGCTTGTCCTTGATGGAGTAGGCGCGGCGAAGCGACATCTTCACCGACACTCCCCCGGGTGATGCGCTGCTGCCTCCTCCTCCTCCTCCTCCTCCTGCCCGCCGCCCTCCCGCCATTCCCCCGCCCTCCTCCGGCTCCCCCTCGGGCACGGAGCGACCCCCGCGTCCATGGGAATGGGGGGCGCGTTATAACCGGGGGGGAATGCGGGGATGGGGTGGGGGGGGAGCGGCGCCGCCTTTGTCTCCGCTCCGCTCCCCCGCATGCGCGCACCCCACCATCTCCCGCTCCCCCCCTTTTCCTCGCCAAGTTGGATTCTTCCTCCCAGCTTCACCGGTGCCTGTGGGTTGTACCACTCTGCGAAAAGGGGGGAGAGCGCCGCCCCGCTGCTTCCCCCCCCCACCAACCGCGTCGCGTTCCCCCTTGAGCTGTCCCACTTGGCTTTCACGGGAGGGAGAAGTAGTGCGTGGAAGGAGACAACGCGCTGCGCGCACAGCGCGCAGCTTTCTCTGTCCCGTAATAACCCCGTAAAATATAGGGGATCATCCTGAGGGAGGTAGGGAAGTAACGTGGGGGAAGCAGCGAGGTGTCGCACCCCCCTTTTCGCAGCGTGGTACAACCCACGGCCATTAGTGGAGGCATGAGGACGAATCCAACTTGGCAAGGAAAAGGGGGAGAGAGGCGCAGACTAATAGTTACCGGCGGGGGGTGCGCATGCCACTTCCACCTCCCCGAGCTTGTTCCACATGTTCCTTTTATTGTGGGGGGGAACAGCCCCGCGCTGTGCTTGTGACACGCTGTCTCCCCGCAGCGCATCCCCTTGAACACCCCCCCCCCCACGCGCCACGTGTGGTACGCGCCTCCCCCATAACCCCCCGCGCGGCGCACGCCGCCCCTCTTTATCCCGGCGGCGGCCGAAGAGAGTGGAGCGGCTTGAGGGGATCAACGCTGCCGGTGAGTCCTGGGTTTCAGCCCTTAGGATTCCTTATACCCCCAGTTAGGCTCCTTTTTCCCTCTCCTTGAGCCTCGCTAATGGGGGTTTCGGGGGTCTCCGGAGCGTCCTTTATCCCTTTAGGGCGGGAGGTGTGAGGGGGGGCCCTCTTGATATATGGGGGGAAGGGGTTTAGGGGGCCCTTGAGGGTGTGTTGGGTTCCTTTGTAATTTCAGAGTGGCCAAGAAGGAGATTGTGGTCACCCCTTTTATTCTCTTTAGGCCACTTTTCCTGCGGAAAAAGGGGTTTGGGGGTGTCCTCATAGGGAATGGGGCTCCTTTCCCCACAGTTGTGGGAAAAGGGGAGTTTTGGGGTCTCTGGCCCTGTTAAAACCTCAGAAAAGGGAGTTTGGGGGCGTTCTCCCATTGTCTTTAGGGTCCATTCCATTCCTCCAGAGTCCTGAGGGAGAGGATTTAGGGTGCTCTTGGTTTTTGGGATAACCTTTCCATGCCTAGAATCCTAGGGAATACTGGGGTGACCTCCCCCTCCCCCCACCTTTCCCCATGTTTTTGGTCCCTTTTCCCTTAAAAGGTCTGGAAAGGGGATCACGGGAGTCCCTAAAGTCCTGAAGGAAAGGATTTGGGGGGTGCCAAATCCTTGGGATTCCTTTCCCCACTTAAAATCCCAGGGAACGTTGTGGTGGCACTCCCCACTCCCAATGTTTCAGGTTCCTTTTCCCTTAAAAGTTCTGGGAAGGGGCATGTGGGCGCTCCCTGTGGGGTCTCTCCTCCCCTCACACCCCAAAAAAAAAAGGATGTGGGAGATTCCCCTTGCCCGGCACAGGGAAAGGGGGGATTTTAGGACTCTCCATGTCTTTGTGGTCCTTTTCCTTTCCCAGGATTTAGGAACTCTCTGTTACAGGTAAGGGGTCGTGCTGGGGTGGGGGGGGGTCTCCCTAAACCTTTGTGGTTTTCCACAGATTGTGGGGACATATTCTCTGTTTTTTTGGGGAATATTCCTGATGTATTAAAGCCATTGGGGGTGGTGGGGAAAGGGATCAATGTTATTCCTGCCTGGGTAAGGAAGGGAATTTAAGGATCCCACACTTTCCCAGCTGCTCCAGGTGCCTCAAGGATCTGCTCCTCCCCCCATTCCTGGGAATTTTTTTTGTCCAGTCACTTGCTGCAAAGGGGAAACCGGAGCTGCTGCCGTGTCACGGAGCAGCTGATCCATCCCATATGCCAACCCCCTTTGGCTGCCTTTCCAAACTTATCCCGGAGCTGGAAAACCTGGAAAATCAACTTTAGGTGCACCTGGGCTCTGGTTATCTCACCTGCTCCTGTTCCCAAATTTCCGTCACCTTGGTGGGGTTTGTCCTCTCCGTGTTTTTTTTTTTTATCTCGATGCTCAGGAGGGAGGGATCCATTTCCAAACTATTTTTGGGAATGGGCAGAGCCTGCTGTTGTGCTCCATGGGGTTTTTGAAGGATTACATCCCTGACTGAACTTGCTGAGGCTGCCGCATCGGCGTTCCCAGAAATCCCGTATGGATTTGTTCTGTCGCATCCGAGTCACCAATGATTTGGAATTGGTTGGGAGCCCGAAGATCACAATCCTTAGGGATGAGAAATTCCCTTTTCTGGGCTGTTTTGCTGTAATTCTTTTCCTTTTCCAGGTGTATCCCATTTCTCCCTGACCTTCAGGTAGGGTTTTTCCTCACCTGAGCTGCTCATTCTCAACTCTTTTTTTCCCCCCTCTATTTCTCTCGAAGGTGACACTTCCCAAGTCTTTCCCTTCTGCTGATTTCCCATATCCATGATTATCTTGTTAGGAATTTTCAGCTTGGAGCAGAAAGTTGAGTTTTTAGGTGACCAAGGATGGGAATTGTGGTGTTTTCCTGGAATGTGGAGCTTTGTCTCATAGCAAAGGAGATGATAACTTAGGGAAGAGCCAATTTTAGGGGATGAAACCAGCAGGAATTTAGGAACAGCCAATTTTAGGGAATGAAACTAGCAGAAAAGTTAGTTTTAAATGAATAAAATATTAGATACGAGTGTTGCTATTTTGCTTTATGTTGATTTCTCTGATGGTATTTGAACTCATTGTGAATTTCTGGGCCGTGACTTTTCCCACTGGAGAACATTCCCAATGCCACAGCGTGGTTTTTAATCCTAAAACTTTGTGTTTGTGGAGGTAAAAATGGAAATTTTGAGTGGAAAATGTTGAAAGTTGATGCGTTGTGATTAAAATTCCTTTTTCCCAGGTTCTTCCAGGAAAACTGGTGCACACAAAGGAGAAATGACTTTTTTTTCCCACTTTTTCCTTGTTTAGAAGCTTTATTTCCTTGGGTATTTGGGTTTTTTCAGGACTGAACATAAGGTTTGGCTGCTCATGGAAGCAAAAAGGTGCTGCAGGAATGTTTGGAATCACCCAAAAATTGGGATCCTGAGTTCCATCAACACATGCCAGAATTGGGATGGAAGGTTGGGAATTCTCAGGCTGCTGGAATTGGAAAATCCTTTTGGATAACGTCACAGTAATATTCCTTGTTATTAAAATGAAAAGAAACTCATTTTCTGTGGTGTTGGTTCACAAACTTCACGGAGTTCTGGGTAGTTCAATAGCTCCAAACTTCATTATATGTGGTAATTAATTAAGCCATTAATTATTAATGAAACGATTTGGCTGAGGAGCTGCTGCATCCACAGAAATTGGAATTTTTCTCTAAAATTTGTCCTGTGTTTTTTTTTTTTAATGCTGTCATAGGAGCAAAAAAAGTAAGTACCTTCTAATTGTTGTGTGTTTTTTTTGGGAATTCTGGAAAATCTGGGAATGTCAGCACAAGTGGGATATTTATAAGACAATTTTTTAATGCAAAATCCTTAAATTTTTTATGTCTTTACTCATTATTTGCCATAATAAATTTATTGCTATGTAAATATCCTAAAACTAATTCATTGCTCCATAAAATAAATTTTTAAAATCCAAATAAGCTTTAATTTTTAATTTTTTCTTTAAATTCAGAATTGAAATCTCAATTTTTAAACATTTTTAGCTGTATCAGAGTTCCCCAGCACCAGGGAAAAAAAAATAAAAACCTTCCTTTGCCATTCCTAATAATTTGTCTAATTGGAATCTAATAAATATTTTAAACTCTATAAATTTGAATGTTTAAAGGCAAAACTTTATTAATGAACAAATTTGAATGGAAATATTCAAGACCTGAAAAAAGCATGTATGTGTAAATTTTAAATCAAGTTTTAAATTCAAATCAATAAATTTTGATAAATTCAAATAAATAAATTTAAATTGAAAATGAAATTGAAATTTAAAGTTGAGAATTGGACTTGGGGCTTCCGAAATCTTTCAGGAATTCTTGGAATTACAAACCTTTGAGGCTATTTCATCCGTCCGGGAATTTTATTTGGCAACCTGCCACAGGTTGATTTTTATTAATTATTGAATTAGTCACGAGATTTCCAGCTCCTGGACAAGTTTAATTTGCCAATAACATGGATTAAATCCCAAAATTCAATCCCAGTTTTTCAGCAGCTGCCTTTTAGTGCAAAAACCCAATCAGGAGTAAACAACAACTTCCGAAAACTCAAAAATTCGATCCAGTTTTCCCAAAATTTTGCCTAATTGGCAATAAGTAACAAATAATTAATCAGTAATCCACTAACTTGGAATATCTGATATTTCCCAAAGATTTGAGCAAACTCCTGTGGGGTTTTCTTTTCCCTGCCTTAAAATTTAGAATAATGTGGGGAATTCTTGGCAGGAATATTTTAGGAGGAAGGCAGTTTCATACATATTAAATTCCTTGGAGTTCAAACTTATCCCAAAAGGGAGAAATAAATCGAATATTCGCTCTTTTTCCCTGGGAATGTTAATGGATAAAAACATCTCCTGCATGCCCTTGCTTTGCTCTGCTGCCCCTACATTTGTTGTGCTTATCTCTCCATGCTGCCCGTTTTTTTTTTGGGAAGATGAGGACACGGAAAAATCCCTGCTCCGTGGACAAAGCTTGGCTGGAAAAACACCGCAGCGACGAAGCCGAGCGGGAAGCGCCGGAGCGGGAAACGCCGGAGCCCGAGGCCGTCAACGGGATCTGCCACGAGGATTCCATCGAGGGGGAATTCAAGGGGGACCCAAAAAAACCCAGGAATGGCAAAAAGCAGCGGAAACGGAAGCGCTCTCCGAAACCCAAAGCTCAGGATTCCAAGCTGGAGGCGATCCTGGCGGGAATGTCGGCGGAGCACGTGTGGTTTGACAAGCCCTTGTACGACCGCGCCGAGAACGCCTACAGGATAAAATTAGCGGCTTCCCAGAGTTGGGAATCGCCTGAGACTGGAAAAACGACTCAGGAATCTCCTGCCGCGACCAGGGCGAAATCCAGCCAAGATATTCCCAAGGCAAAGACGTTCCCAGCGTGTTCCCACGGGA